GACGAGACAAAAGATCAAGGAAACTACTCAGATGGTTCCTGTATTTGTCTGCATGTCCTCTCTACTTTAGTGATCGTGATTTCTGCTCTGGCTGCTGCATTAGCTGTTGTCTTTGTTGTTGTTCTCTGGGTGATCTGTAAAAAAGGAACTGGTAAGTTTTTGTATTTCCTCCTGTCAGGGATTCATCACAGTCACTTCAGTCACCATCCAGGATAATTACCCGATCACAGTCACCTGAGTTCTGATCACCCGCACCTGCTGTCACCAATCAAGCCACACTACAAATACACACACAGCACAGTCACTCACTGTCCGGTCTACCGTTCACTCCTACGAACTACTCTGGACTCTCTCTGCCAAATTCTCCTAGAACGAATTACCTGCTGTTCCTCCCACGATCCTCCAACGACTCCTTGGAAACGGCTCCACGATCTCCAACGTAACCGGCATACAATCCTCTCCATCAGAACTCAGATAAGCACCCTGGAACCATTCACTGTGTTGACATTCACCTGCCTTTAACTCACCTATTCCAGTCATCCACTTACCCAGTCAATAAACCATCCTGTTTTGCACTTACCTGTTGTGTCTGGCCTTGCTTTGTGACACCTCCTTTGTATAATAATAATTTAAATCCGTATAAAGCAATATTAAATATGTGTTCAGAGTTGTCACACCCAAATGTGTTATTAACCACCTGGCCACATTTGAATGATAAAAAAATCCCGCCAAGTAAATAAAATAAGTTATCAAAATCTTGGGAAAAAAATTAAAATACGCAGCAAACGCTGGGGGCGTGTCCGTTGTTGGCGCTGAAACCAAGTCAAGTCTGCTTTGTCAATTCTTCCACATGTACAGCACATAGCACTTCATGAGGATGGGGGTAAGTGCAACTGGACGGTAGTCATTGAAGCAGGATGGAGACGACTTCTTCGGGACTGGAATGATGGTGGTAGCTTTGAAGCATATGGGGACAACAGCCTGGCTGTTTCGTGGAACCACGCCCATTCGTGGAAAAGCTGCCGCCTCTCAACTGTCAAATACAAATACATTTAAATAAGGAGACGAGCTGTTCGTAGCTAGCTAGCAAACTGTAGGCTGTAGTGAGTTACGGGATTGAGCGGCCAAACCAGTGATGCTAATGCACTCGGTATTAGGTGGGTTCGACTTGAAGCGGCGCTGGGCAGACCGATCGGTGTATGACATCAAAGTACTACGAAAGTGATTCGAAAGAGCGCCGCTTCAAGTCGAACACACCTCTTATTATAGTGTTAGGGGAGGGGCCATGCTCGGTGGTTCCATTGCATCATCAAGACAGGATTTCAGGCCCGCCCAAAAAATCCTGACCACAAAAATGGTGAAAAACTGTTTAACGGTTTAACTCCACAATTCAGTACTAGTTCACAGTCTTTTGGCTCGTTTCCACTGAGCGTACAGTTCAGTACAGTACAGTATGATTCTGGATGGTACACCCTGATCTGCCTTGCATTTCCACCGCCAACAATACCATTACTTGTGGTGTATGCCGGTGTTGTGCCCAGTTCTGACCCCCGCCAGATTTTTACCCCCCTAGTATTGGTAGGTTTAGGGTTAGGTGTGGGGTAGGGTTTAGGATTAGGCAATCAGGTAGCACCTTCAACAAGGGGGGTAATAATTTGGCAGGGGGTCGAAATTGGGCACAACACCGGAAAGTAGTGATCGATGTCATTCTCTCGCAAAGAAGAAAGTGCGACATTGTGTGTATGTGTGTGAAAATATAAAATGATAAAAAACACTGTTATATTTTTTGTGTTTGCACACACTGATGTAAACAAGCCCAACATGCATGAGCAGCATGGCGGAACGAGTGAAGGAGATGTTTCATTCCGCTTGTGTCATTCCCCTTGTAACATGCGCAAGTGACGATTCTCTTGTCAACCAATTAGCATTCTGCAATGAGTCTAGCTCCAACCTTTATGTACCGGACTACTGCGCTAGGTACCCCAACAGAAGGGTCCCAAAAAAGTGGTATGGTACGGTTCGCTATTTTGTAGGGGTGCTCTGATCAGGATTTTTGAGGCCGATCACAGAAAGCAGTATCTGCCGATACGATCACTGATACTGATCTTTTCAAAGCCTTATTTTTATCATGTAGAATTATTTTTAGTAATACTCCAATAATTTATCATTTATACATTTATTCAGGGCCTGAATTTCATTTTTGAAAATGGGGGGAATTTCCCTCTAATAGGTGACTCTTGTGAGAGATTTTCTTTTTTTTAATTTGAGGGTTGGATGGGAGCATTTTTTAGACATTTTTCAAAAAATTAAGCGTTAGCGTTAGTTCTGGCAGGTCACGTGAGTCAAGCTTGCATCAGCTGATTCTCAGCTGAACACATCTACCTATAGGAATACGACACCTATCGTGGCATTCCTATATAAGCTCTATTCAGTATTATTCTGCAGCTTTTCATTTTTGTTTTAACACTCGTGCAATTGTTGCACAATAGCTTACACACAGCACAAAACAGTTGCTCAAGCAAGTGGCAAAACATTTAAACTACTTTTCTTACGTTATCACAAACATTCTAACTTAAAACTTACCACTGACAGAAACAGTCAGCTCTACTGCCTTTTTTTTGCATTTAAATCTTTATTACAACAAGCAATCCTGCAGTTCATAAATAACTTTGTTTTCCTTCCTACTCGAGTGCCATCTATTTTTGCCTTGTTTGTCTAAAAGTGCTATTTAGCATTTTTTTTTGCTATTAGCCAAAAAGCCATATGTGTTGACTGTGAAACACAGACTTAAATTATATGTATTTATGGTGCAATTACTACATTTACCGCAAACAATGCGCTGTCACTTTAATTCAGCACATGCAGCGGAAACGATCTCTGCATTGCTGCAGACGCACCGCTCCTAGAACGCACTGCCGGACCGCAACCGTGTGCAGTGTGAATGCGCTGCACACATCTGAATATTTGGGTTGAACTGTTCCTGAACAGTGTTGTAAATACAACTTATCCACTGATTTCTAGTCATGTCCTCTTTTGGAAGGCCAAACAAAGTCGTTTCGCTTTCACAAAGAAACACACAGCGGGCTTGAGTGAGCGGAGGCCAGCAGGCTTGAGAACAGCGCGGCCGGCGGATTCGACGAAGGGAGACTTTAGTCTTTGCAACTTTACAGATCTTTATGCACCAAGAGCTTGTAACACTTCAAAGAGAAAGAAAAAATTGAAATAGCATCATATGACCCCTTTATCATGAGCGCGGAAAAAATACGCACGGCATAGGCCTATGCACGGCGAACGGAGTCTGTGTGAACCTGGCGTTATGTGTGCGCGCTGGGAGTGTGCAGGAGCGCACGGTCTTCTGGAGAGCACGCGAGTGCTGAATGGTTAAACACTGGCAAGAATAAAAAAGAAATGCAATTTATAAACTTTAGTGACGATGTGACACTGTCTCGACTGTGCAAGTGACAATTCCTGTGTCAACTGTGCAGCTCGCGTGACACTGCCTCGATTGTGCAAGTGACAATTCCTGTGTCAACTGTGCAGCGTGCAGCTCGCTTATAGTCAGACGCGATGTGTGGTGATTTGAAGTCATTTGCGCATTTTGAGAGAGAGAGAAAGCGTGTTTGTTAAATTACTTCTCACACAAAGTTTTCAAATTACTTCATAAGTTATTTAATGAAGAAATATGAATGGCACCTTCAGCATTATAATTATTTCACAAGCGTCGGGCTGAGACGGTGCCCCTGCATGTCGTGCCAAATCTCTCACGGCAGGCGCGTCAGTTTGAGATCGGTTTATGAGATCGGCCTTTTTAGAGACCGCTGATCAAACATCCCAAAGCGATTATTGGCCGATAGTGATCGGTTGCCGATCAATCGGAGCACCTCTGCTATTTTGGTACCATTCACAACTTCTGACAATGAAAATGGAAGTAATTGCGTACCGTAGGGCCTACTGTACTGTACTGAACCATACCGTTTGGTGGAAACGAGCCATTTGTAATGTGTTTTTAGCAATACATTTAGAAACAATTCTCTGAATTTCCTTTACACAGACTTTAAACATATTCACTTTATCATTAACAAACAACCATCATTTTCAAATCATATGTGTAATAGAAACATACAGATTATGTGAATGTTGAACTATGAAGTTCTCAAACAGAGGGCTATTCCTGCTGAGAATTCCTGCAATATCAGTCTCTAAAGTTATCAGGTGAAAACAAAGAATCTTTTCATCATCAATTTTAATGGTAGCTTACAACCTTTTTATTTGAATATTATTAGCATTGGAGATATTCTGTGTTTTGCATGTCTGTTTTATTATTAATGCTCATATTACATTTTTATAGATAATAAAAGAGGGACTGACAGCTATGTGGTGAGTTCAGTAATGCCAATTATTTGGATGTGATTACTGTATTTTAAGTTATGTACAGTATGCAGAGTAAAGTGTGTAATTCATGCAATTACTAATAACTACTTATCTGTAATGTGGGGTTTGGTGTTTGGGTTTTGTTTCATGTTCATGTTGTCCATGTCTTTTATTTTGTAATTGTTTCACCCTGTTAGTGTCATGCTTCCCTTGCCCTCATGTATCTCCGCCTTGTGTATGTGTCATGTTCTGATTGGTAGTCTTAGTCATGTGTCTTGTTTCCCATTGGTTTGTTCTTGTCATGTGACCCTCATTGTCGGATATAAGTAGACATCATGTTCCCATAGTCTTCGTCGTGTATTGATGTTGTAACCCGCTGTTGGTGAGTCTAGTCTGTTATACCTCGTCAAGCCTGTTCATGTCATGTCAAGTCAAGTCTGTTCATGCCTAGTCAAGTCTGTTCATGCCTCGTCAAGTCAAGTCAAGTCTGTGTCTCTAGTCTTCGTCTGTTTGGATTATGTTTGGATGTTTGGATCACTGCAAATAAACTGCACTTGGGTTCTTCACTACGCTCGCCTTCAGTGGATGATTCGTTACATTATCTAAAGGTCAAAGATAGGAATGAACATAAAGGGACCTATGAAAAAATCAACATGTCCATTCCAACTATGCCAAACGCCAATGTGAGTGAACAAGATGACTCAAACTTTCATTAAGAAGTTTGAAGTTCATTAAATGTCTATTCAGCTATTCTATAATGCAATTTATATCCCTTAAGTTGTGTACTGTCATGTCTTTTTGCTGTATTAAACTTGATTTGCCATGTTTCTATTGATGTTTAGGAACAGACAGATGATGTGACCTATTCTGAGGTTACCGCTTCCAGTAAAAAACAAGTACAAGTGGACAATGTGAGTAGATACGGATCACCACATTCACTTGTTCTTCCGTCACTGACCAGCAGGGCCGTTTCTAGGCATAGGCGAGCTAGACGGTCGCCTAGGGCGCCACCAGCTGAAGGGGCGCCGGGGGGGGGGGCAATAGGGAGTTCGCCTAGGGCGTCAAATTGGCTAGAAACGGCCCTGCTGACCAGTGACAGTCCTGTTCAGAGAAAATATACCCACTTTCTCTCATCTATATGCTGCTGATATGTAGCTCTGAATTTGCAGATAAATGAAGCTCTAACAACATGAAGTAATAATAGCTGTGGATTGAAAGGTACACATATTGACTGACAAAATCTGCAATTGTTCTTTCAGAATCATTCTAATGATACAGTGACATACGCTACCATCAGAGGAACAGAATATGCACCTCAAGATGGGCTTTACGCCTCTGTGAACAACACCACTACCCCTCACAAATAAACATTAAAGCAAACAGTCAGTAATTATGCAAATCATTGCATGACCTCATATGAGCAGATAAGCAGTTGTTTTGCATCTACTGAGATTAAATAATGAGATTCATTGTATGTTAAGGAAAAGAGCTTTTATATTAAATATTTGTTGAATGTACTGTGAAAATGTACAAACACAATTTAAAAGGAAAGTACTGTTAAAAAACGTTCCCAAATTGTCAACCACATGTAGTAGAGAGAAAAAAAAATGTATAAATAATATAAATTAAATTGATTAGCAATCAACATCTCATCATCTGTAGTCTGGGTCAGGCACAGTAATGTTAACTTGAAGGTTTATCTGGAGAAGCCTATGATAAAATGGTACTCTTGCTTTTGGCATGTATATAGGCTATGTTTGTTGTACAAAAATATGCCAGGTAGATAGTCTGAGTATTACATTAGATTCTATTCAAATTACATTTTCCTGACGTATTCTAAAAATTGCATGTGTCACTAAATGAAATGTCTGGGGCATTTTGTCCTACACGAAGAGCATGAAAACTTCAATGTCACGGCCCCCAGTCAACAGCCCAGTCTCCACCACTACATTTCCCAGAATCCCTCTTGGTTCCCTCCTATGCACACTCTATCACCTGCACCTGCTTACTATTTAGCTCATCATTAGTTCCCTATTTAAGCACACACCTTAGTTTCACTCACTGTCTGGCCTTATACTAGGAAGGATTCTATTACCGGTTCGCCATGTTTCCTGGTTGTTCCTGGGTTGATTTGTGTTTACCTGTTGTTCCTATGGCTGAGGCGTGTGCTCTCTGGTTTCCATTGACATCATTCCTACCTGAAAGACAAAAGAGACTGTTTATATCTTCATCGCTCCCCATACTCAAGATTGTGCATTTATATTCACCTGTGTTTGCCCTGTGTTGACAAAGCTGTGCTGGGTTCACTTACACTCCTTCTGAGTGTGTATTTCCTGACAGTCAAGGGTTAAAACAAAAGTTTTTGTCTTCAATTCCAGTAAAATCAGAAGTAACTGAACTTGCTCTTGATTGGAACATTTTAAAACCAGAATTCACTTTTAAATGAGTACTTATGTCATGTTATAGTATGAATACAATGTTATTTATTGAGAGAGAATTTAAACTAGCCAAATATTTAAAACATTAAGAAAATGTTCAAATGTATCCTGGTAGTTTGTTTCCCAAGAGTGTGAAAATATTTAACTGTCGGTTCGCTTTGCAGTTAATTGTTTTTGTTTTGTTTTTTAAAGTAAAGTAATCCTTATTGTCTTGTGTGTTTCTCATTTGTTCTCAGATTGTATATTCATGAATGGATTTATATATACGCACCATGTAAGTTACTTGGAATCATTGTTTTAAAGGTGCTATTTATTTGTTTGTTTATGATTATGGCAGTAGCTGCAGTTCTAATTGAGGTTGTGTTTTATGCAACATCTTACACTTACTGTGCTTTGTTAGTAACCTATAACACAGTAAGCATAACATGTTGCCTAATACATAATGTTACATATTTGTAGAACCGTTTCAAATCTGTTTTGCATGAGAACTAGCGTGAGAATCCGCGTTAGTTCGCTCTGTGAACCCAATTTAGACTGAATCGTTGCATTAGTAGTTCCTCTTCTTTCTTTTAGCAAGTTGCTTCATACTTTTGATTTCTATATTGGTCTCAACTGTAGAAGCTGATGGGGATCTGGACACTCATGCTAGTCTTTTGAGTCTACATGTGAACTAAAGTTATTACTGGATGATGGATTAATTCTCCCTGAATAATTAACCAATATAGCTCATAAACCATGTCGTAGTCAAGACCAGATAATTTTATTTTCATGATCTCTCAAGAGTCTTTTTATTTTTCTTCTCAAAGAGAATTTTTACACAATTTACACAAACATTACAACCATGTTTTGTAATACCTCAAATTGCTGAAAAGAATAGAGGTAACTGTGAGCGGGTATAAATATATAAACCCTTCCAGTCATAGGTGCTGAGTGCCTGCTGAGAGAAGTGTATCATTGTCTCTCTGTGTACTCTCAAAATATTTAGGATTTATACGAATTTAAAGGGGTCATATGATGCGATTTCAAGTTTTCCTTTCTCTTTGGAGTGCTACATATTTGAAAAATAATGTGTTTTTTGAACATTAAAGCATGTCAACATATTCTGTTACACCAAATACACAAAATAATGATCTTTAAAAAAGCATCATATGACCCCTTTAAGATTTATGTATTTGGAATGGATATAAAATTGTCCATCCATTTGGATTATAGTTTGAACATAAACTAATAAACTTAATGCAAAGCATATTTGTCAGTCATATGTAAATCAAACAGGTAAGATTTCTGCACTCAAAAAATAATGCCATAGTTTATTTCTAACTCTTTCCATCTATTTTGCATCTAAATAATATTATAAGAATATTTTCGAAATGCATTTATTCAAATTGCTTAGAATCAATTATAAATATTTTCATTGTGAAAACAATTAAATTGATTTAGTTAAAAAGTATGAACATGACTAAAATATGGCTTGCTGTGAAGCAATATTCAGTTAAAACGTATGAAGCTGAAAAAGTTGATTTATTGATGATAAATATATAAACTTGGTTATTGTGTATATAAAATATATTCAGCTTATTAGTACTATTATAGACATCTTAGCTGTTTAATGAATGAATGACAAATGCATTAACCTAACCTAAAATAAAAGAATATACTTCTTCACATGACAGTAGATGTCATACTTTAAATGTCCAGGGGTAGAATATCCCATATTAAATAAATGGGGGAAAAAATAAAAATAAAGTTTGATTGATTGATTGTTGTCCTTTTCTAACTTAAATCCTCTAATACTTTTTACAGAAGACTTCTTAAAACAAAACAAAACAAACAAAACCCAAAGTGTAAACTTTCTTTCTACAAAATGTAATAATTTGATCACATAATGATCTGTGATATAAAACAAAAAAGTGCATATTTATTTTGCAAGATAAATGAGTAAACCCTAAGCATGGGTCAGACCATCAGTCTCATCTCACACACCATTTTATAATGTTTAATACATTGTTAGAATATTACATCTTTACATGTGTTTTATGTGTGGGTTTTTCACTGATCACTACCGTTCAGAGAAAACTTTTTTTGCAGTCTTTTCTTTTTTTCTCCTAAACACTGAGACAACATATGAATGTATTTTACCATACCCCCTTTGTTTCCCCAATAAATCTGTATGTTATATTCATACTCTTTACATAATCTTTGTGTTTAAACTGAGCAATGTGGCTGTGGGCTGTGCACTAAGTGTTATATTATATGTTATATGTACAGTATTTTCAGAGTTGTGAGCTCACTGTTGAGATTTGTTACTGCTGAGTGCGAGAACTCCGTTTTTCCACTTTGGTTCAACCCACAATAGAGCTGTGATCATCTCTGAACCCAGTTTAGACTCATGGGTGTGAAATCTGTTGTCAGTTTATCTTCCTCTTCTTCAATAGTCTTTATCTAAATGTGAAATAGTGGTATTACTGAACCTTTTGAGGAGGTGTATGAGGTATACAAACCTGGTGATGAAGTTATATCAAATTATATCAATTTTATATCCAATCCAAATACATAAATCTTAAAGGGGTCATATGATGCTTTTTTAAAGATCATTATTTTGTGTATTTGGTTTAACAGAATATGTTGACATGCTTTAATGTTCAAAAAACACATTATTTTTCAAATACTGTACATTATTGTAAATGAGATATAAATAACTCCATGTGTTTATATTGTAACCAGGGCCGTTTCTGAGCATAAGGGTTCCTCAGCAAAGTCCTACACTCTAAAAAAAAAGGTTCTTCAGCGGTTCTTTGGAGTGGTTAAGGTGCTATATAGCACCACTACCGTATAAAGAACCTGTTAAGCACCTGTATGGTTCTTCAGCGGTTCTTCAGCGGTTCTTTGGAGTTGATGAGGTGCTATATAGCACCACTACCATAAAACCTGTAAGCCCCTGTATAGTTCTTTAAAGGTTCTTTAACTCTCTCTTAGTCTCCTAGTTTAGTTGGGGAAAGGGTTAAAACAACATTAAAATACAGTCTATTTCTTGAAGATATAATTTTTTTTGCCCCCAAGGCCCCCATAATGAAATATTCCAGGGCCCCCACATGAGACCTTTGACCTCAGAAAAAAAGGACCTCTCCACAAACAGCAACACCAACTTCACACATTACTAACCAGTTAGACTTTATTTCTGGAGTATCTAAAACAGAAGTTCTTTATTGAGAATTAAGGTTTAGATGTTTTTTTTTTGTTTTTTTTTCAACTTACCGTTTCGGAAACACAAGAACTACAACTGACTTCAGCCACAGCCTTAGATGAAATCAACTGAAATAAAAGACATTAAATCTCTCAAGATCTCAGCAGAAGATAATTAAACAACTCCACAAACAGTATCACCAGCTTCATGCATTACTAACCAGTTAGACTTTATTTCTGGAGTATCTAAAACAGAAGTTCTTTATTGAGAATTAAGGTTTAGATGTTTTTTTTTTGTTTTTTTTTCAACTTACCGTTTCGGTGAATAGCGTTTGCTTTAGTTGCCTCTTGACCCTTGACTTTAACTTTAAGTTAAAATAAATTTCTCTTTGGCTGTTGCAATAGTGTTTATAAAGCACATATGTAATGACAAGGAACTTACTGTAAAATCTTTTTATGCATCTGAGTCTCTGGTTGCATATTATCAAAATCTTTATTCTTTTATGAGTTTTGTATTATTGCAGCTCTATGATACAACGTGACAATGTGAGAAAATTGTATAAACCACTTTTAGAATGATGGGTTATAAAGAGGTTTCAGTTCTGTCCCTCATAGACATGAAGAATCAGCATGTGAATCTCAGCAATGGTGACAAAATATTCTGATAATTTTGATATGATTTTTGAACATCACAAAACAGGGCAGTAAAAAGTCGCAACAAAAA